TGCGGAGGGTGCAGTGCATTCCTGGCAGACCAGGAGCAGAGTCAGATCTGAGGCTTCAATAGAGCCTAGAGGAAGCACCCTGGGACAAACAGTTGAGGACCAAGTCCCAGTTTCTCCTGTCCTTTGGCATATTGCTGGGGTTTGAGATCAGATAGTCTCCATCTACTGTGCAAAAACAGGCAAGCCTGGAACCACCCCTTTGAAACCAGCAAGAAAATTACTAAGTCAGAGAAGATATGATATTTAACTTCCTGAAAAGCTAAGGTGGGACAGAGGAAGAATTATGCTAAAATGAACCGAAAATCAAGATTTGGTGATTCAGAAGGACTGCAGAATGATCCTGGATCTAAATCCAAAGACCCTGAGCAGCAGTATTAATACAGGTAGGGCTTCATTATTTTGTTTACTGCTGCATAAACACCTGCTATCTGAGTGAAGATTTATTTTGTACAGAAATAAACTGCAAAGCTTGTCCTTCTGCATTCAATAAGTTACGTCTAACATTTGTCACCAAAAAGATAGACTGTAAACCCAGAATATAAACCCTGAAAACGGCTGTGCTTATGTTCTGAAAAAGTCTGAGACGGTTAACTTCAGGAAACAGAAAATTGAACTGTCTACTCCAGCTATCAGAATAATTTTCAATGTAACATCAGTACGACACAAATACATGCAGAGATGCTTTCACCAGGTGCAGTGGCTGCTTATGAAGAGAAATTTCAGGGCACACAGAGACCCTCAGACATAAGATCCTGAAGAAAATGCAGGATTGAAAACTTTACTATGTCCCTACAGAGAGTGAGACAGGCACCTTTTCCTTTCTCCAAAAGTACTTACAGGGGTGTGTAACATAAACTTGACCCTGATTTTCAAAATCTCTCCTCTTGGACAGACTACGCATATCTACACAAGATGAGAATATATAGTTTGATGAATGATGCAGAAGGTTTGGAGCTGTGAGTAAAATATATCCCTGGCATGTGACTTGAGACTTGAATCGGAGAAACTTGACAAACAACCTATGATATGTTTGCCTATTCCATTGTATTGTTAAATTATGCAATAGAATTGCTGAATGTTATTAATCTTCTGTAACATACGGTTTTAGCTTTCTATATACTTGTGTCCTACAGGTAATAATTAGAAGATAATCAATAATCCAGCTCCTTGATAAACTTTTTCTACATTTCAAACATATCTACTGTGCCGTAAACTTCTGTGTTTTTGTTCTTTTTATGTGGATTAAAACTGGTTATACCTTATGACAATAGCTTTCCTGCTATTTTAGTTACAATCATTTATCTTGAACCAAGAGTTAAAATTACTTCCCTGCTAAGTAAATACCAGTAAAACTAGTTCTTCCTGCTTTAGACAGGATCCTCTGACCAAGTTTTTCAGTATAGCCTGCATTCTAATATTCTGTACTCACTCCATGGACCTATTTCCTACATAATTTCATACAAAATGTCCTCTTTCTGCTTCTTACAAACAGTGAAAATATTGGTATCATAATAAAGTAATAGTAGCTCTGGTACAACTGGCAGTTGTATCTCAGTTTGGGAGATTGGAGGCAGCTGACATCTGAGCGCTTAAAATTGGCTATTGTCTGTCATATTTATTTTATTCTCTCTGGATCCAGACTAAATTTTATTGATTTTCAAGGGGAAAATTGTGCTTAAAAAGAGTTTCTGTTATGAACCCAAAGTGAGTTATGAATAAGATTTTTTTTTTTGCATGTGTGTGGAGAAGAAAACAGGGAAAATTAGGCATTAAGACCCAGTAATTAGGCAGTTAAGTGACAGTACAAAATCTGTTAAACATACTGTAAAATTAATTAAAATTTCAAGACCATTCCAGGGAAATCAGTGTTGAAAAGATTTAGAACTGGTTTTCAAATCAGGCAAATTATGAGGGGAAAGCACTGTCCCTGTGCTTAGAGAAGGTGCAGGAGTCTTACTTATGAAGTGAGGCCATCTCCTGAGAGTGGCTCAGAGACGAGCTGTTCCCACCCCTCTCCCTAGCTATGGGAGTGCCGCTAACCGGCGGCAGTGTGGCTCCTCACTGCCTGCCAGGGAATACAGCCAGCCTAAATTAGCAAATTTAGCTGGAAATGCTCTCTGCATGGTCTGAGCCTGTGCTTCCCACAATGTCCTGCACCTCCATGCACTGGCTTTTCCCACAGTGACAAAACAGACCCAGCAAATGTACTAAACCGAGGTGTGATAACTGCCCCACCCAGCAGAATTAGCTACAGCTGTGAGGCATGGTAAGGATTGAAGAGTGAAGCAGATTCCCTTCCTATTCCCCTCTCCTGACAAAAGATGTCAGCTACTCACCTCCTACACCCCCATCTCTGAGAAACCCTTGAGAGAGACCTGCTGGGCCCAGCACACAAGGGGTGCCTGAGGAAATCCTGTCAATAAAACCCGTGCCACTGCTCAGGGTGAAGGGACAGGCTGATGCTTTGTAAGGGTGGGTCACTCTCAGACCTGTTCTGCTGGCACAGCTGGGGAGACAATGCACTGTGCAGAAAAAAAGGAGGGAATGCCTGCAGGATTTAGAATGGGAGCAGCACAAAACAGGGTTACTGAGGAACATGTGTAATAAAACATCTTCAACCCTGATTTGTCCCCTTAGAACAGCATCATTTGCATATATCTAAGAAACTGTTCTGCTTTACAGCCCAATCCTGAGATCTCAAGCCCAGTTTCCAATAATTGCCAGATAAGTGACTTTTCCCAGTTAGAGAAATCTAGAAATGTTTGAAAATATAAACTTTCAAAGTTAAGTGATGGAAATATATTAAGGCTGGTTTCCTACAGCAGCTGTCTGCTTGCAGATCCAAAAGTTCCCATACACTTTCAAACTCCATATTCACTTTCTTTGCTTTCTCTGTATACATGTAGGGAGATTAAAATAGTGCATGTTGAATTAGGTAGGGATTTCTCAGCCAGTGACATTAAGATCAGGAGCATATGTGATGTAGATGCACTGTGAGATGACCAGCTGTGCTCTCAGTCTGTTCAATCTGTTAAGAGGAGTAAACCTTGAGCTTTAGGCATTCTTGGGTACAGGTTATGATGTAATAAAATATGTGGAAGAAAATGAAATATGAAATTGGATAATGTATTTAATTTACTGTACTAATAGGCAGCAGTTTACTTATGATATTGCCAAACAAGCATATTTAATATTTTGCTATGGTGAGTTATTCTGGTGGTAAATTACTTTTCAGAGAACTGGAGGGGAAGCTAAAATGTAGAACTCAAAACCTACTGCTCTTTATAATTTTTAAGGCAAACTAGATATTTAGAAATGTGTCAGAACAGACAAACTTATTTTGTTTTTCCATAAGAAGCCATGTCAGTTTTCCCCTTTTCTTTTTCTTAAGCAGATTACTGTCATCACCATTCTTGCCAACAAGCAGACTCATTGGAATATTTTTCAAACATGAACACAAATATTGGATGCAAGCAGGTGGAATGAATTAATTATAAGCATATGGTTCTAACATAACGATTTCTACAGAGTTCTGTTGAGACTTCTAAGGGTTTAGCTCTACAACACACTGTGGCAACAAAGCTGCTTTAAGAAATTACCAGTGACATGAATGTAAACGTTTGTGGAGCCAGACTCACTGACAGGCTGAACGCCCGGCCACACACACATTGCTAGCCCAGCTCTCAGCTGTAAGCCATGCCAATGGGGGGCTTTGCACTGCTCTCCCCGCTGTGTTCGCAGACGTGAACGTGTTGCCAAGCAAACACAGCAGGCAGGGACGGGGAGCTCGGGTGGGGAAATGGTGCTTCCCAAGCCAGTGTCACACAGTGCTTGGTGCAGCCACTCAATATGTGCTGCAATAGCCCACTGTCACACCCTCTGTGATTCCAGGCTATGAATCCTTCTGTGGTAGAGACAACTGCAGGTGTTCCTGGCTTGCGCTGATCCTTGATCAATTCCCAGCCACCCCTACTGATGCAAGATATTATTCACTCTTTCAGTGGAGGAGAGCTCTGAGATAGACTACTGAAACAGCCTGAATTAGAGAAAAATTGCCAGAAAACAATCTTAAAAAAAAAAAAAAAAACAAAAAAAACCCAAAAACAAACAAACAAGCTATCTCAGATCCATACAGGGGGATCACCTGGAGGCAAGAAGCAGCAGAGGAAGTGTGGGCTGGCCACTGCTGGGATGCTAGCACCAAACACAGCTCAATGGCACAGTCTGGTGCAGCACCAGCTATCCTGCTTTAGACTGGAATAATATTATGGTTTTATACTCTCCACATTTTCATATTAGAATTCCTGAAGGATTTTTTGATAGTAAATATAAAATGTAGTCAAACTATAAACATAATGACTATTCAGGTTGTTATTCATTATATTAGGCTTTATTTAATTAAGCAGAAATGAGATGTGGCATTTTTGAAGAAGGCTGTGAAGCAGATATCATAAATAAATAAAAAAATATTAGATTTTTACAATCCAATCTAAATTCAGATAGGAATTTATGCCATTATTTGTTTAAAAAAGTTTGCTTGTCTTTTCAGTAGATATTTATGATTACCCAAGAGCTCTATTTTGACAACCTACTGTGAGATCAGCACTTTGAAATACCAGATCCCCTTCTCAAAGGGCTCGAATACAGCTTCACATGGAAACTAGTCTCTGTAAATATTGCTTTTAAATCAGACTTTACATTCAGATAATTTTTTTTTTAATCTCAAGCCCTGCAGAATGGCCCAGTATGGTACCTTATAGCTACCATGGGAGGACAAGAAACAAACACAATGCTAGAAATAAGTGCTAAATACTTTTTTTCTTAACAAACATGTCACATACGAATTATTACAATGTTTTAGAGCAAAACAAACAAAAAATCACCCCAACAACTAATAAAAACCACTGGCTCATGTGCAATCCAGCAGATGGTGCTATGATGCAATAAACTGGTTCAAGAGTACAAGAAATACACTGCATGCAAACATTCTTCTCCTTTACCTGGTGCTGCTGCTTTTTTGATGGCTGGGTTGGCTGCAGGAGCTTTTGCTGGCTCTTAAAAAAGTAAAAAAAAAGAAACCATTTGTTACAAAGCATCTTATTTTAAAAACCCATCAGAGATCTGAGGAAAGTCTTCCAGTGAGGAAGCCTGTAACAATATTTTTAACTGAAGAGTTAAACAAAGACATTACCCAAAGGGAGAAGGGCTGAGTTGTCTTCAATAAACTCAAAGGCAACGACAAAATAACCAGCTGAAGGGTAGTAAGCTCTGGTTGTTAGGCATTGAATCCTTTCTTTCAGCTTTTTCTACTCACTAGTTCAATATCTATTGGCAAAGCAGAGGAAAGAAGGCATGTAGGGGTTTCAGCATGGCCTTGCCCCTCAGGCAGCAGCTGTGTGCTGGGAGCCTCTGCATCTGATCTTGCAGCTAGGAGAGCAGAAGGTCCTGAGCCAGCCTCTGGCAGCTGTTGAGGACTCACTCTTGTGAATTCAGTAGTGGTACCTCAGGGGATCCCACAGCTATTCACTGTGGCATCCTTTCCCCTAATCTGAAACTGGCCCTGGCTAGAAGAAGTGAAATTGGGCTGTTTTTTCAAAGTACATCAATTGAGTTGGCTATTCCAGGAATCTCCCTCCATCCTGAAGAATGGAGGAGCATTAGGAGAACACCTTCATCTTTGATCCTGCAATTTAAAGATCAATTGCTGTATTCTCCTGGCAGAGAAATGTGCTCTCTGCAACCATTTAACTGTTTTTGGTCTTTTCATGAAGCAGTTGCATTATATTATCTTTGTTTGTAGAGCATGTCCTTGTGGAATGGAGGTCCCAATGATGAATGGTATGAACATCCCGATGTGGATGTGGGGAATCTTAGTCCCATGTAGAAGAACCTAAGTAACCTACTAGATTTATTCACTCTTTATTACTATTTAGTAATTGCTTTTATCCTCGGGAACTAACAAAACAACCTGTACTTAAACCACAATAGTTTAACAAATATGCATAAGCTAAACTACACCAATGGTCATAAAAGATTTTTTGTATCAACTAGAAGGTTCTTTAAATTAAAATTCATGTTTTCATGTCTTGAGAGGAAATAACTAATCATTTTAATCACAAGCCGAATTACAGAACGCCAAAAAATGTTAGTTAATCCTGCACATCTGTCACTGTATTATTACAATGAAAAAGAACATGGCTAAATCAGGAATGTAATTTTGAATCCTTCCCCTCCAGTCTTTTGAGAAGTTCATAAAAGATGCATCAGATTGTCTTGTGAAATGGAAAGAAAACAAAATATAGTTTGCCTGTGCAATGTGGATTGCTTTATTTCCTTCCATTTAAAAACCCACAGCTGATAATTATTTCCTAACTTAATTATTATCACAGCATTGTAATTATTTGGGGTATTCACCCCTCCTTCAGCCAAATTTGTAGAAGACCTTGAAGAAAAATTTACTCAGTATCCCTTTTCTGATTGCCTGTTTTTGCAGGAGTCTGACACACATGCTCTACAAGTGTCAAATGGACCTAACATGAAATAGCAGGACTCTTTCATTTATCCCCTTCTGAGCTCTCAGCTATGAGAGCAATGTCAAGCTATGCTTGACAATGAAATTTTTTAAGCTTTTTTTCATAACATCTGTGAAAACAAACTAAGGTTTCTTTGTGTTATACAAAGATTTTGATTTTAAATATTTAATATCTGAGAAACTAAAATAATTTTGAGAATAAATAAAATTAAGGATATGTTTAACTAAAAAATTCTGTAATTGATTTAATTTTTATATAACTTTTTAGAAGCATTGAAACAAAATTGCCCAAAGTTTAAACTGGCTTTGGCATACCATTTCCAGTTTGCTATTCACAAATTATTTAAATGCTAATGATTCTGTATCTTTACATGAGCTACTTGCAGCTGGAAATTTTGCTCATGTGGTGGAGATGGGAAGTTTTGCTATGACAAATTGCTGCTGTGGAATTCTCCCATAAAAGGAATCACAGAATGGTTTGGGTTGGAAAGGATCTTAAGTATTATCTCATTCCAAACCCCTTGCCAGGCAGGGACCCCTTTCATGAGACCAGGTTGCTTAAAACTCCATCCAGCCTGGCCTTGAGCACTTCCAGGGAGGGGACATCCCAGTTCTCTGTGGAACCTGTTCCAGCACATCACCACGGTCACAGTGAAGAATTTCTTGCTAATATCCAATCTAAATCTACTCTCAGTTTAAAGCCATTGTCTCTTTCCCTTCCATTGCATAGCCCTGTGAGAAGTCCCTCTCCAGCTCTCCTGTATATTTTATTTAGGCACTCGAAGGGTGCTCTGAAGAATTGTATGCGCAAATTAATAGGTCCTTTAAGACCTGCTTGAAAACAGGCTCTTATTTCACTAACAGGACATTACTTGCAGGGTAAGTCTATGAAATGTTTTGTTAGATATTTCTGCAAAATTTGCATAAGAACCCAAAGTATAAGTTTTGGGGGTTTTTTCATTGCCAAAAGAAATCTTTCAATAAATTGCTGCAAAACTGAAGATGGCAGGAGATTGTTCTGCCATAGAAGTCACAAAAGTTCGTACATGGAAATGTATTAACTCTTTGACTCACTGAGGAAATATAACTCACTCTTTAATTGTGAATTTGAATCAGATTTTGAAACCCCATATTTTTCCTAATTTTTCTTATATACTGTACTTTCAGAACAGAATGCTGAGCAGATGAAGTCTTACCAAAGATACTGTCTTACTGTCCCTACTGTGTTGAGGCATTGACACTTGCAAATTTGCAGAAAAGGAAGACGTATCTCCTCCCCTTTTAAATGATACTAAGTTCTCAGAGCATTTCTTGGCTATTTTTTCAGAAGAGCACAATCCCCATCTCTCTTCAGCCGCAGAAGTTTCTATGTTTGAACCAGAGCTACCTCGACAGGCAGGGCCCTTGTTTTGCGTTTGTGAAGATGAATTTGGTGTTCCTCAGCATGTTCAACTCTGAACCTTCCCAGTCTATTTATGAAAATTGCTGCCACTGAGATCACATTCAGCTGAGACCTCAATTTGACATTTCCTCCCCTATGAAACCTTTGTTTTTGAAGACAGTGATAGGAAAGAGGGGAAGGCAAAGCTGTCAGTCACAAAGAGGAGTGTGCGGTTAGAAGGAGGATAAGAACGGATTAAGAAAGTAGGAGGCAGCTGAAGTCTAAACATATAATTTTTCAATTATAAATGGTGTAGCTACTTCCTTCTTTTGTATTTTCAACAACTCAATAACTAATATTTTTGGATTAATGTGATTCACTTTTGAAACTGCATGGCATATATAAGAGATAGTTCCTTACTTTTGAGTTCTTTGGATACAGCAGCTTCTTTTTTATCTGTAAGAGAAAAAAACCCAAACACATATGCATAAAAACACAGTAAGGGTAAAGGTAGACAGAAAACTGCAGTGTGTGCTTTAGAGGTGAAACAGCTTATTTGCTATCAAGTGCATCGCTATGATGCAGTGATTCATTCCACTTCTGATTGTTCCATGGAACAGTGGCACTAATTTAACCCTAAAGGTAAATACAGGAAAGCCTGTGTGACCCTAAACACTCTTGTTTAATTTTGGTGTAGTGATCTGTGGGGTTTGACACCATGGCTTACATGCAGCAGCTGAGCTATTGTTGCTCACCATGTGCACGTGGTCAGGCTGCAGGAACACAAGGAAGGACGTGCTAGTAGCCCAAGAACAGAGATGTAATGAAAGGCACTCTCCCTGCAGTTGTTGGCAATCACACAACTGAGGCCTACTTTAGAAGATTTTCCACTTAACACCTTTTGAACTTAGAGGAACTCAGCCCTACATATGGTCCATGTAAGAGCAGGCAAAATTCATCCCTGGTTGACTTGAAAAAACCTGAAATTACTTAGCTGAATCAAAATGCAGCATGGCCAAGCAAACTACCATGAAGACTTAACTAGGCTGCTCAGTCTCACTTAAGGTAGGATTTTTGTGCAACCTTTTTGCAGGACTTTTTTTTTTTTCTGATTGCTGAGAGATTTGGAATCTTTACTGGGGTGATATAAGTGTATAATTTTTGGTGCTATTCTACCTCAGGATTTTTAGCTGGGTACAAAATCACCCATTTTTAGAAACATTCTTTGTGCTTAACACACCTTTTTTGCTGGTCTCACCTGTACAACCAAGAAATTACTTGTGAGGATCTTGTGAGATAGGAGCAAAGGCGTGCATAGAGCAGTGGTAGAAGGTACTCCCCTGGATGGTTACATGGAAATTAACATCATCTCTAATTAACTATAGCATTTCTGGAATATAGGCAGGATAATTCTTATGTCCACAACATATATGAATGATAAATGAATTGTGCTCTTAAACACTAATATAAGAAATACTTCAGGGCACAAACTGTCAAGTTAAATTGCTTGCAAACCCAAGACTATCCCATTACTGCTAATAATACAAAGTTGCTCTTTTTCTGTTGCTTTCTAAATTGCTGTGGAGAAGTTGATATGAGATAAGGTAATGCAAATGACTGCCAAGTAGTATAATAATCTTGAAAAATTTGGAAGAAAATATATTTCTACTTGGGTGATATGTTGCTCTGAACTGAAATATTTCTGGGTTAATCCTCTGCTTCCACTAACTCTCTGTGAAAGCATGTTCTCCAGGCATTACTTCAAAGTATGATAATTACCACATTTAGATGAAATTAATCATGAAGCAGCTTCCAGCCATGTTATCTGGCTAAGGAGCCTATTGAAGCCTTCAAGAAGTGTCTATTAGTTGCCACATATGGAAATTTTGAAAGGTATATATATATTGCAATGATATGAATAATTTATCACAATAATCTTCCATTGCTGGAGGTTATAAAAAAATAAATAAATTGACAGTATCATTTACAATAACAGACTGGATCTAAATAAAGCCTTCAAGTTCTTTATTTCCTTTTTTCATATAAGTTACCATTTATTAGGGCAACATACTTTCATATATTTTAAACCCATAATTTATTTTGAAAGTATCAATATGTTTTCCCATCATCTGAAATATATAACATATAGTAAATATAGTAAATAGCTGGACAATTTTTCCAGTAAGAAAACCTTCTAATTTGGTGGTGTTGTATATTATTTTTTATTTGTTTTTAAAGTGCAGAAAAATTACCAATACTTGGTTCCAACAACACATATTAATATGAAAATGTAAATACTGTTAGGATATTCTTTTCAAGCCAAGGTCTCACATTTGATTTCTAAAGCTGTATTTATCCTGCTAGGCTGGAGTGATTTACAGAAAATTGTCCAGAGGATGTTGTGTAGGACCTTGAACCATGGAAGTACCTTTGAAGGTGTAAGTAGCATTTACATCTACATACTTCATTGAAATTAATCACCAAGTTGCAAAGAAATGAACAACTGTTAGATCTTGCAGAAAGAAGGAAAGCTGATAAGGACTTCTGAAGCCCTAAATATGGTTACCTGCTATGAGGCACAATTAACACATAGCTTATCAACTCAATGGAAAACAACACCAAAAATGACTTGGCCAATGAGTGATACTGGTGCAATTTGAGACAGTGAGAAATTTGTCTCATTCATTTTTATGTTGCACAGGTCTAGGGTTTCACTTTTAAGCTATGAGATTGTGGTTGGGAACATAGATTATTTTAAATCAGGTTTTAATATTCATTATGTATTTTTTCTTAAAAACAACAGCAATATGCTCTCTTGCTTCTTGGTGGGTATTTTTTCCATGTTAGTTAAGAAGAGGAATTTCCCAAAAAACCCAATTTCTTCATTAAATTTTGAAGGCACATGAAGACACATATGAAGACACATTTTATATTTAGGTCTTCTTAAAGGGCTCCTGCAAACCATGCAAATACTTTGCAATTCAACAATTTGGGTACCTCTGACAACCTATCAATTTCCTTTTCTTGAAAAAACCTGCAAAAGACTTTAAAAGTCTAAGTTAAGCTGATGAAATAATTGGTCATCTGTGGTACACTGTGAAGCACCCTTTTCCTTTTCTGCGGAGGTATTTGAAGGCAATTATATTCTGGTCTATATTCTCAAAGAGTAAGCATGCTTGTACAAGCTCTCCTCAGGTGAATGAACAGGTTTTTCTTTTATTGACTCTTGTGAAAAACTAAAGTAGAGTAATACTTAAAAAAATATTTTATTAAAAACCACCAAATATTTAAACAAATATGATCTTTGTTCTTACCTCTACAGCTGAAATGATCAGTTTTGAATTCAAAGTAGGAAGAGCATTTGGCAGCCAACACAGATATATCTCAGTAGAACAGAAAAGCTGTATATTATTTTATTTTATTTTGCCTCTTTATAGCACATAGCTCGATCTTTTCCTCAGGCCTCGATCAGCATTCGTTTGAAGTAAACTACCAGTACACAGTAACTACAAATGACATCTAAACTACACATGGGGCAAGAAAAAAATCCCTTTAAGCTTATATAGTGCCTTTCATGGCAGTGAGTCCCTAGGAGGTTGGTAATAAGCTATTAGACAAGGATGCCCCAGTGCTCTGGTACAGAGTTTGGTTGTTTGAGTTTAAACAAACTTCCAAAATTGAATATTTCAAACACTGCTATGAAGTGAATTCCAGATCTGGGGTTCACAAAACTTTTAGACCTTTTTAACAATGGATTTAAAATACACTGTACATTGTACATTTCAGAGCAGGAGATCTGCTCCATGCAACCTATAATTTTGATAACTAAAAGGAAGTTCTGGGAAATTAATGGATCTCAAATTGTACTCTCTTGAATGGCTTCTCTGTGTCTTTTTTCCTAGAAATCTCTCACTCAAACATACCTAGGGGTAAAACAACCTTAAAGTATTCTTCAGATAAATGAGCATTTCAGACAGTGTATTGATAGCTTGGATAATGATAGCTCGGATAATGACACACCATGTTAAAAAAGCAGCTAAAACCCTTCTAATTAGAAAAATTTCTTGTATATGTTGTACTTAAAACAACCTTTCTATTTGGAAGCTTACAAAAGAACTTATTGGTAATATCAAATTTGCAAACAGAAACTAATTTCAACATCAGTGGGAACCATAGTGTCCAAGTTGAACGGTAGCTAATATCCTAACCAAACATGTTGTAACCCAATAGATTCTTCTGCTGCTGATCTGAACTAAGGACCAAGACCATGGTGAATTGCCAGATGCCTCTGGAAGATATGATTCACTGAATCAAAAAATAAAGAAAAATTTAAAATGTTAAGCAGTTACTGAAGGAGGAATTCTCACCCGAAACCTCAGTTAACACTTTCAACTTCTGTTTTCTACCTGATGATCACACACTAGAATGGACTTAATCAAACCCCACTGACTGGCTCATGGTCTACATATACCCCAGAAAATAGGTGATGTGATGAAAATGCCTCACACAACGTGACCATAGTTCTCCAAGCAGAATGTTCCTAGTGAGACTCACACAAATCTTGCCTCATTTCTTGATTCTATTTATTTTGACATAAGTATTCCATTCATCTTGTGATCAAAAGTCAGAGAATAAAAAGAGAAGATGGCAGAAAAATGAACAGAAACTTCAAGAATCAGAAAAAAAATTGTGTTGAAAATAAAAATAACATTTTCCAGTGCTTTGAAGTCAAAACTATGTTGGTTTTTCAGAAAAAAAACCAAAAATTCCTGGCTGTTATTACCAACCAAATCACAGTCAACTGAGTGCATGATTTGGGAGCTTGGTTATGGCTTTGCAAGTACAATGCAATAGCAGAATTTTCATGACAATACATCTTACAGCTATGACAGCCAAGGTTCCCTTTGCTGCCCTGAGCAAGCATTCACATGACTGGAAATAAAAATTATAGCAGGTGGCATCTGATGGCTAAGAACTTCCATCATGTGAATGGAAAACATAATTAAAGTCACTCAGAGAACAGTCTCACTACTGTCTGCTCCCAAGATAACAGATGTACCAGAATTTAGAAACAATTTATTAAGTGGCACAATTTGCAGCTAATGTGATTTACAGTGGTAAAAGAGGAACACACCCCAGATAGCTGAGCATTTTTGAAATGAACTGCTGTTGAGCATATAATAATTAAACAAGAATTGTCAAACCTTCTATTAAAATATATAATGGTTTAACATTTTTTTTTCATTTATTTGGAGTTCTTAAAACTATTTTCCACAATATACTATTGATTTCAACTAATATTCCAACAAGTCAGGGAAATGTTCATTCTTGAAATGCCTTTAAGAATTTCTTACTAAGTTGCTTTTTAACTTACATTATTTTTGATAATTTTTCACTAATTACATGGCATTACTGAAGTAATTTTTACCTTACCACATCTAAAAATATTGATTTCAGTTGCTTCTGAAACAGCAGTTGTCCACATATAGGGGTGATATATCAGAGTAATTACACCTTTCTGGTGTAATGTCTCCATTTTACGATAAAGATTTTAAAAATTCCCTACAACATAGAAATAAAGAAATAATATTTCTTCTTCTTAGTAGACTTAAAGTCTATGAAAATTGCTCTATCAAAATTGCTCATGGTAATCTAGGATTAAATTTTTAATATTACCGAACCCCTAAAATTTGACAGCGTAAAAGAGCCATTTAGAAATACCAACATTTCTCCCACATGCAAAGTTCTGTGTTTGGACCAACACTTGATTTTGCTCCCTGTCTTGATCAGTGAGCATGGTATTGCCATATGCTCTGTGACAACTTCTGTCAAAAACTCTTGCCTTTCCAAAATTGCATTTCTTGGTGGGCATGAGAAAGGCATTTCATTTCACCAACGAGGCTGAAGGGTGCCCTTGTGCACAAGGGAAAGCAAGGTACTACTGCTTCAGAGCTGTTCCTGACCCACTACATGACAACAATAAACTCTGACCAGAGTTTAACTATCTTGCTTTGAGAATAATGGGAATGACAGGGAAATTCATTGGCAGAGGCCAGTAAGCCTTGAATACCAGACTACAGGTTTTGCATTTCTATCTTTTGCCTGCAGAGATTTTCGCATGCAAAAAAAAGGGAAACTGCAGATAATGTTATTACAGCTGAGTAAAATGGGCAGATGCAGAGCTTCTGGGTGTTAAAATCAAATTTCCTCAAGCAGAATAACTGGACTATGAGATAGAAATTTAAAAATTAACTGACAACTGTTGTGGTATGTAAAGGTGCTTGAATAATGTAGAAAAAGGAATTAGCTAACTAAAATTCCTCTGTTGTTGATTCAATGGAAAACTGGTGATAGTGTTCTTAAATATAGACAGATAATTTTCCACTGAAGCAGGAAAAACATGCAAAACTTTCCATCCATTCTCTGAAAAGGGTATCTTCTCACCTCAGCATTGTCTGTATTTCCTCTCCACTCAGACTAGCAGGCTTTTTGATAGTTTCTAAATTTCTTTCATGTCTCCAAGTCCCTTCTGATCACCAGCCCTTGGAGGTGTTGTTTTGTCTCTGCAGTGTCCCCTCACACCACCATTTGCAAGACAGCTCTATATTCTGTGCAGCCAATGGGTGCCTGCAAGCCCTGGGCACCAGAGCATCAGAAAGAGATAGTAACCTAAGCCCCAGAGCTTTTCAGAAAGTGTTTTGGCAAAGCACATGGATGAAATACTAAATGTTATCTCAAACAGATTTCCCAAGATTATTAAAAGGGTCAGCTCAATAGAGCAAAAAATAAAGCAAGTAGATGAGGGATGTGAGCAGACAAGTGATTCAGTTACAGTACAAAAAACCCTGCACTTCAGGAATGGCCAATTTCCAGTATAATAGTGGTTCATGTTTCCACTAATTAGTGATTTCTCCTTTCTACTTTGTATACAATTTCTGGAATGAATTCAGTCTCTCGTACTGCAGAGCAGGTAGAAACTTGTTCATGTTAAATATATGCTCATGCATGAACAATATCCTGGTTTGTATCAGAAATCCTGTGGCCAGACAGACTAGGGCAGGGATTATCTCCCTGTACTCGATACAGGTGAGGCTGCACCTCAAATCCTCTCTTCAGTTTTGGGCCCCTCACAGGGCAATGGGGCTGGTGAAGGGTCTGAACCACAAGCCCTGTGAGGAGCAGCTGAGGGAACTGTGGTTGTTTAACTTTGAGAAAAGGAGGCTCTGGGAGTGCCTTATCGCTCTCACATTTACTTGAAAGGAGGTTGTAACAAGATGGGGATTAGCCTTTTCTCTCAGGTAATTAGCAGTAGGGCAAGGGGAAATGGCTTCAAGTTGTGCCAGAGGTTGTTTAGATTGGATATTAAGGAAAATTTCTTTGCAAAAAGGATGCTCAAGCATTGGAAGAGGCTGCCCAGGGAAATGGTTGAGTCATCATCCCTGGGGGTATTTCAAGTGTATGTGTGTCCACTTGGAGACATGGTTTAGTGGTGGACACGGCAGTGATGGGTTTAAGGTTGGACTCAATAAGCTTAAAGGTCTTTTACAGCCTAAAAAGGTGTTCATCAGGCATGGTTTAAAAAAGCAAAACTCAGGAGCATGATATGAGATTGCAGCCATCCACACACAGGAAGCTGCAAGCACGGCTAATTACAGAAACTGCAGTCCTTTTGAGAAAAGGTAGCAGTTTTTTATGTAGCATATGTGAGCAATAACATTACTTCCTGAAACTTAGGAGTCAGATATTTCCCCGGAATAACCTTTCATTTGAATTAGTATAAATATTATAAGAGATGAGAAATTTCTTTAGCATTTTTTATCTTTCCTTGAAACAGCTGGGGGATGCACTTAAACTTTTCTTAATAAAGCTCAGCATCAATACTGTTTCAATGATTCAGAAGAGAATTTTGGGTTAGAATAGGCTTAGTTAAGTGCATGCTGTGCATCCTTGTGATATCTCTTTCTGTACTCTTCAACACATTTTCATTTCTTTCTGTCTGTTGGATAGATAGATGTACGGATGACATCTAAAGGCATTATCTCTAGGAAGAAGACATTTTCTTATCTCTTAACACAGATGCTGTCAACATTCTCACTCTGTGAGAAGGGAAATCTTAAATAAAGAAATGTCCATCCATTCATCTTTATAGGTGACACAATACTCTAATTACACTCTTTAAGTGAGGCAGAATCTATGAGAATGCAACTTCATGCAGAACATACTGCAATCAAGCTAAAAATCAATGTTTTTCTAACCACAGTTATGTGTGGCTCTTCCGTTAAAGAACATTTGCCTATTCTATTTTCATCATAATTCAATAATACTTTATCTGACTTAGTCTCAGAGTTACATACAGCAAACCACGGAATTGTCTCTGCTTCTT